TAAATAGAGGTGATGCTAATATTAAACTTGTTATCCTTGTTGATATCCTGGATCATTTACTTGTTAATTGATTGTTGACAAAAAATAATAATTTTATTGCTATTTCTATGGATAGAGTTAATGTACAAATTGTTTTTAATGACTTTATTAATTAATTTTAATTAATTAAAATTATTAATTAATTAATTAAATATTTTTAATTATTATTTATGTTTTAAAGTTTGCAATTCAAACAAACAATAATTATTTAATTATTTACTAATTTTGCTGTTTATTTATTTGATAGATACAGTATTTCTAAAATTTTTACTGATTATTAGATTTTAAAGTTTAATTTAACTGGATTAAATTATAATTATTATCAACCAAATAGTGTGAGCAAGGTCCAAGTGATAAGCACTCATAAAATATGCATTTGGTCTAAAGTTTATGTCAAAATACATAATCATTACAATTATCCAGTGATTAAAGTTAGTCTACCATTTGTGTGGCAAACAATACAAACCCCTCCCTCTCACCCCATATTTAGGGGTATATCGCACTCGTTGTGTCATAATCGCGACCAAAGGTCCCCTTAAATAGTTATGCCCTTAAGGCACAATCATAAACTTATAGACAAATTATTTCATATGAAAAACCGCTACTTTTCTGTAACTTTTCACTTTTGAAAAGAGTTGACAAATTCATAGTCTTTTACAACAAATTAATTATTATTTGTATTCATGTTTTCAACGAACTCTTCGTCCACTAAACTGTTTGTCAAAAATGTTGTCATATTTAGCGACAAAACCAAATCCAACCGAAAAGCCGATCAAAATATGCTGAAAGTGTTCCGAAGCATAATAATGGGAGCGCCGGGATCTGGCAAAGGGACCATCAGCTCACGCATTATACGCGACTTCTCGCTGCCGTACCTATCGGTGGGAGACCTGCTGAGGGACCACATGGCCAGAGGCACGGAAGTGGGCCGGGAGGCCGAGCAGTACATCAAAAACGGCAAACTAGTGCCCGATGTGGTGGTCAATAAGCTGGTGATCAACGAACTGACCGAAAGTTATAAGGAAAAGCCATTCCTAATGGACGGCTACCCGCGCACCGTAGCCCAGGCCCGGGAGCTGTGGTCCCGGGAGGCGCTCAGACCTAACAGTGCCATCAATCTGGTCGTACCGGACGACGAGATCATTGAACGCATAAAACACCGTTGGATTCATAGGGCGTCGGGACGTACGTACCATTTGCTGTATAACCCGCCCAAGACTGCCGGTGTGGACGACGTGACGGGTGAGCCACTGGTCCAGAGGGAGGACGACAAGGAGCACGTGGTTATGCAGAGACTACTCGAGTATAAGAAACAGTCGGAAGTGATTATTGACTTTTTCAGGTATTGCAAGCTTATATTGTGTTTGAAATAATAGTTAAATTTAAATTACTTTTAGTGATAAGTCTAGCGATATAATAGTTATTAAAAGTATTAAATGTCATGAATAATGAAATTAATAAATATTGCTATTTTTCATTAGTTTGTGATTAGTTTTTAATATATTTGTGTTTAATTACTGTATTGGTTAGCATTTCCTCAAAGGAAAGGTGTGTTTTTCAGGGAAAAGTGGTGGAAAAGTATGGGATGTTTGTTGTTCGTGGGGTTATCTGTGAATAAATGATTTGTTACGATAATAAAAGTGTGTTTTTGTGGTGTATTTCGCAGAGAAAAAGGCATTTTGGAGAACTTCGTGGGCCGTAAGTCCAATGAAATCTACCCCAAAGTGGAACTGTATTTAAGTCAACGCATTGATCGCACCGTACAATAAGTGATACATTTTTAAAGCATTATTATGACACAGAATCTGATGACCAAAACAAATCTCGTTTATATTTTTTGCAAAGTATTTGATATATTTTTTGTAGATTTTTTTGTAATTTGTTTATTCGTTTTTAATAATTAAACTTTTAATTAATGACATATTTTTTGAATTACAAATATTTTTAACTAAAAATACCTAGATTTAAAATAAATAAACTGCAACTTTGCATAAATTAAATTGTAAATTAATTCAAATGAATCTTATGTTTGTAATAAAAAGTTATATTTTAAATGAACTTGTAAGTTTTTATTTAAAAAGTACTAAAGTTAGTAATTTAACCATACCTTTAAAAGTGCAGTAAACTCATTTAATATGTATCTGAATTTTGTACACGTGACATTGGAATCTATGAACCCTGTTCATAATTCGCTAGATTATATTTATCATGACAATCTTTGTAGTCTTTTATAATCAGTGAACTTGTGTTTAAAAAGTAATCAAAATTGAAAATAAGTCTTTAGAAAGCATTTGTATGTAAACTTTACATTGTAAAGCATTAGTAATGCTATTAATTTTTGATAATAAATTGTTTTAAGCACTCATTTTGTTTTAATTTAATTAACGAGTTATAAGTTGTTAATTGCAAACAAAATGAGTTTCTTGAGAAGTGTATCAAATTGGTTCTCAAGACTCGTATTTCATTCAAACAAC